CCTCAAAGATTAAAAACAATGGAATGATGCTGAATTCAGAGTAGGTATTATAGAAATAACTAGTATAAATTTGAGCAGAGTATCAAAACTCATCAGAAAACTCAGCTGATCCTTTTATTTTACTGAAAGGTAATGGGTGTGTATGGCCATTAGCCCAAACAGACCCAGTTGGCCTTGAAGCAAGTAGCTGGGATGTGAGCTGAGTAGTGTCAATAGGATATCCATGAAGGAAGAGGTCAGGTTGGGCCTAGTCTATATGTTGCAACTCTTGCTTCAACTGTAATTTTGCAAACTATAAATAAAAGTTAACATCGCGAAGATAAAGTTATAAAAAGGAGGAAAAACACTTGAAAGCTACATGTGCTCCTTTCCCCATTCTCCTAGATATTAGGCATCTCATGGGGTACCTCTTTTATATATGACTTTTTCTTTTCCAGTAGAATTCAAAAGGTAAGTTGGAGAAAATACTGCTTCGGTCTGTGTCAAAGAATATGCTACATGGAATAAGGGGGAAGCAACAGATTTAAATTTCAGAAATGCAGGATAAACTATTAGAAAGGTCAACTGTATAATTTCTTGCCATTCTAAAGAATAAAAACACTATTTTGGTAGAATTTCATTGTAGTAATATTAAATCAAGTTACTTAAAATTATACTATCTGTTCCAGTCTTCCTACTCTGTTATGACGCTAGAAACATATGAAAGTATATTTTGTAGTGCTACAATGGGAAGGGATGGCCTGTAAAGCCAGTTAGACTGTGTTTGATTTCTAGTTTTGCCACTGAGTATGTGATTTTGAGCAAAACCTCCCTGAGTTCAGTTTCCACATTTGTAAAATGGGAACATTACTTACCTCCTAGGGCTGTTTGAAAATGAAATGAGATAATAAGCTCAATAAACGGAGTTTCCTCCTCCTCCTCCCTTGACCTATAGAATCAACGCTGTTGAACAGAACTCTTTGGGAAGATGGAACTACTCTATAAAGTGCACTAACATGGTAGCCATGTAGCTACTGAGTAGTGGAAATGTGGCTAGTGTGATGGAGGGACTCAATTTTAACTATATTTAATTTTAATTAACTTAAAATTAAAAAGCCCCATACGGTTTATGGCTACCATACTGGACAGCACAACATACGGCCATGAAAGCGTATCTGAGGCTTTAAATCCTTATGGGAACCAGAAGAGGATATAAAAACAACAGTAAGATTCTCCAGAAGTTTATCCCAGAACGCAGTTTACCTGAAGTACAGATAGGCTTTGTGGTTAAATATATCTGGATTTGAACGCCATGTCTGTATGACCCAAGCCAATTTACCCCAAATACCTACACCTCAGACTTCCCATCGGAGGACAGAAATACTTACTAACCTCACTGAGGCATTGTGGAGATGACAAATTAATGGATCTGATGTAGTAGGTGCTTAACAAATCTTATTCCCTTTCTCCTCCCATATTCATTGTTTCTTATATGACCACTTTCCTCACATGCTGGCCAAGTGCCTGAAGTGTTACTAAATTTAATGATGGCAAATGTAGTTAATGCCAACTGTTTGCCAACATGTGTTTACTCCACTAAATTGTCAATATTTAATTTTTTAAGAACTTGAACTTTAAAAATGACTAAGAAAACAGCATCTTCGACATAGGAAAAAAACCTCACAAAAAAACTTTTAACTCCAAGACCAATACTGTGAAATGGGAGTAGATATTGGCTAGGCATAGAAACGAGGTTTTCTGGCTTCTTACCTCATTCTTTCAAGCTACTAAGATTGTCAGGCTAAAATCATTGCTTCTGAATTATTCTGTTACAAAGTGCTCAACTGACTTGAGGATGAAAATAAAAATTCAAACCCAAACTGAACTTATATCTGTTTCATAGTCAGAAATTTGGCTTTTAAGACTTTTGGAAAAAGTGTTACATCTCCTATTAATGTGAAATATCAACATATTCCAAGCCCATAGATGATCTGGCTACTTTCAAGTTCCTTTCCATAATATAACATTCCAAACGTCTGTACTAGGTTGATCAATAAATACTTAGAAAATAACTAATTACCCCTAGGCTGTTCATCAGGACCTGGGAATTGGTGGAAGCCAACCTAAAACTGACTTCTCCCCCCAAAAAGAAAAATAAATAAAACTGACTTCTCCCTTGTTATCTGAGGAGCCCCCTCAATGCCCAAGCCACATGAAGGCTATCTACATCACATCTATGACTCTCATCTTAATTTTTAATTTCTGTTGCAGAACATTTGCCACTGGAGGCTGCTAAACTGTGTCTAAAACAGCCTTTCCTAGCTATTCCCAGATAGTGGCAAAGCATAATGTGTGAGGACTAATATGCTTCTTTGCACTAATACTTTTGTTTGTTTCATCATCAGTTTAGATAGGGGCTACAAAAGCAGATCTTTTAGTTGGGTAAGTGCTATATTAAAAATCTAAGCCTGTACACAATTTTTAATTCCTGCACATACATTTTAATATCAATGAGGAAAAAACTTCAGGTACAAAATACTGTGTAAATCCTTGATTTAAAAATAATTAACTATTTAATTTGGTCTGTCCATTTAATTACTGTACTTTGGCCCTATTCCCTATTCTCTTGTCCCATATACTTTAAACAAAAAAAAGTATTAACCGTTTCAGTAGAGTTAAGTAGGTAGACATCTGCTTTTCATATTTATACAACCAGAAGCACTATCTCAGACTTGCTTAAACTGAATATAGTTCTACACACAAAAATACAAGCAACTAAGAAATAGTTCAACACATAAAATCTCCAATTACTTATCTCTATTCCACTTAACAGCAAACCAAAGCACTTCTAAAATATATTCCAACCACCAAGCACTGAAATCAGAGGTACATATTTGCAAGTGCCAATAAATCTCATGTACCAACAGATTAAATCAAGAAGAAAACCAATTTTTCTAGACTTGCCAACCCCCTTGACTTTAAGGCTTGGATGTACTCTTTCGAACACCAGGTCACTCTAGGTCCCTAATTTTATTATTTTTTATTGTAGTCACTTTTTTAAAGCTTAGAATTAATTACTACATAATCAAGATGTACAACGTTACTCAATTTTACTGTATACCAGCAGGTTCCATGAGTTTGGACTGAAGTTTATTGGCATAATCTGGAATGTATGCTATAACTACATTGTAAAGGAAGGGTTTCTAACCCAACTACCCTACACACACGGTTCTCTGAAAGCAAAGTTCTAAAAATCTTCAACTTGCAGAAGTGGTGCACTGGGGTGTGGATTTATAGCTCTTCTAAGTTTTTTCTGCTCAGTGAAAACACAGTAAGTCATTATCGACGTGTATTTGAATACTTGCCTTCCTACTATCAAAAAAAAGGAAAAGAAAGAAACCAGACAGGCCCGCCTGCTGGGTAGTTGAGCTCCACCCCCAAAACTCAGGGAGACTATCCTTGCCAGTCTTTATTAAGATCTACATTCTGGTCTGTCCTCATCCTACATACATTGTTAATCTTAGAAAGCATCTCCATCCTAAAACTGGTTTAAAAAAAGAGTCTGAGGTGTTGCTTATATGCCCAGACTTCACAAGCTAAACGCTGGGGACTTGGAACGACGTGTACCTAAACGTGGCCTTATGGGGAATAGTAGAGAAAAGGGAGATCAGTGGCAAAATAGAGTAAAGAAGGGAAAGCTGCGAATTACCTGGCCCACAACTTTGGGTCCCTACTTTAGATAATCTCCCGTCCCTCCTGCCCCCACCCATCCCAGGAATCAGAAAGCTCAGGGAAGGTTGGTTGTGGGCCAGCACGGGCGACAACTGAAAGGATTTTGAAAAATTCTGCACAAGAAAAAGCTTCGTGGAGGAACGGGATGGTAGACAGATGAAAGCTGAGAGCTGGTTCCTGGGGCGACACTGAAACCCGGACTTCGGGGGGGGAAAGCTGGAGGTGCCCGCGGCTGGGGGTGTGTGTGGGGCGGGCCGTCCCAGGTGCAGCAGCCAAGGCGCAGGGGTCCAGACGTCGAGAAGGCTCGGAAACTAACCCAGTGCCCAGGGGCCTCCCCATCAGAAGGGGGTCGCACCTGAGCTGCAGGAGGTCCTCCCCCTCCCGTTCCAACTCCTCCTCACCCGGGCCGTAGAACTTGCTGCCTTTGGTCACGTCGAAGACTTTCCCATTGACCGCGAGCAGGATGCGCGGGGTGCGGGACCCGTCGTACTGGCGCAGCTGCTCCAAGCTGAAGTCCCGCTTCTTCATGCGAGGCAGAGAGGCAGCGGGACTCTCCTCGCCCGCTCCGGCCCCGGCGCCCAGACCCCGCCGCCCCCAGCGCACCCACAGCCGGTAGGCCCCCAGCAGCACCAGCGCCACCAGCGCCACGTTCAGCAGCATTTCCCCGCCCCCCGTCAGAAGCGCCAACACTGCTGCCGCCCAGCCGCCCCCTTCTGTTGCCGCTCCCGCGCCGCTGGGGCTCTCGCTGCTGCCGTCGCTGCTGCTTTCACTGCCACTCCCCAGGGTGCCTAGCTTCACGTCCCCATCACCCGCCGCCATCACTGCCCGCCAGCGCCTTCCTCCTCCTCTCCGCCCCCTGCCCTCCCCAACCCCACGGCCAGCCCCGCCCATCTGGGGGCCTCCCAGCCAATAACATGAGGCGAGGGGGCGGGGTCAAGCCTGCTCTCCATTGGGTGTTGACGGGGTAACGATGTCTTGGATCTCTCCCTCCTCCTCCCTTCTTTAGCAGGCCGCGCTCGCGTGCGACGCCCCGCCCACCTCGCCCCACACTTCCCTGCTTTCGCTCCTCGCCTCCGCTTGCTGAAGTAGAAGAGGGGGGCGGGCCTGAAGGAAAGATGCAGCGCCGGCCGCGCGCGCGCAAAGGCCGGGTGAGACTACAGCGCGTGCGCGGGTTCCGGAGCGCCACGCGCTCTCCTTTCCTTTGCACCCCTTCTGGGAGGCTGGCTCCGCCCCGTCCCTCGCTATGCGCGTGCGCCCCGGAATCGCTGCCCTTCCCAGGCCGGGGTTCGCGTCCGCGAACTCCCGTCACCTCGCTGTCACTCCGCACGGGGACTTCACGTGCGCCGAGGCCGCCTCGGAGGCGGGGTCTGGTTGGGTCGCCTTTTCGAGGGCGCAGGTTGGTGGCTTGTGGGAAGCCACGACACAGTTTTAATTGTTGGAGCCAACTACTGAGCGGCGTCTCTTTTTCACCCGGGCGCCGTCGCGCCTGTCCGGAAGCCTGGAGCGTGGGCGCGCGGACAAAGCTACCACCCAAAAGTTTTGGCGACTGGCTGGAGTCTTCCTGGCGCAGAATGAGTGCACGGAGCCCTCGCCGGGGCTGTTTGGCATCCGGAATCTACTTGCTGTCTTCGGTGGCACCGAGCAGCCGCTTCCCGGGCGGTTTTGGTCACGGCTGCTCTTGCAGAGTTTTCTTTCAGGTTTTAGACTAAAGGTGTTATTCCGATAGGGAAGTTGATAGAATAAGGTGGTCCTTCTGTTCTCTCATTCAGCTTTATTTACAGCTTCTTTTGATCTCCTTAGGTCTTGTCTTTTTAGACTCCCAGGTCCTTAAAAAATCTGGCGTAAATGTCACCTCTGAAGCCTCATTCTGGGCCCTTTACTTAAAGCACTCAACTCGTTTGACTTGCTCCTTCCTGCTCTAGTTTGTTTTCTTTGTTGTCAGTGAGTTCCCTCACACCCACCTCAAGAACAACCTGCTGTGAACTACTGGTGTGATGAGTGAATGAAGGTGTATTAAGGGAGTAACAGTTTCGGTTTAATCTTGAGGAACCGGTGCGATGGAGGAGAGACATGGGCAAGCAATGGGGGCGTGTGATATGGACTAAAGTTCTTATTAGGGAAACGGCAAGTGGTCCATTTAAGGTTTAAGTAGTCAGGAGGACCAAAGTCTGGAAAACTAGGTTGGTAGTCTTCAGTCAACGGATAGGCTTGGACTTAATACTCCCCGTTTTGGAGGAGCCATTGAAGATTTTACAGCAGCAAATGACAGGATCAAAACTTTTCTAGAGGAGGGGCGCCTGGGTGGCTCAGTTGGTTAAGCGACTGTCTTCAGCTCAGGTCATGATCCTGGAGTCCCGGGATCGAGTCCCACATCGGGCTCCCTGCTCAGCGGGGAGTCTGCTTCTCCCTCTGATCCTCCCCCATCTCATGCTCTCTCTCCCTGTCTCATTCTCTCTCTAAAATAAATAAATAAAATCTTAAAAAAAAAAAAAAACTTTTCTAGAGAGATTATCTACCAGGGATATTAAGGATTGGAATGAAAAAAGAATGGAAAACAAGTTAGTAGGCTACGGTATTTGTGCAAGAAATGAGGAAACTTAGAACTAAGTGGCATTAGAGCAGGGGTCTGCAAGCTTTTCTATAAAGGGCCAAACGTTAATATTTTAGGCACTGTCTTTCGTAATTAGTTATCTGTCTTAAAATAAGAAAGCAACCGTAGAAGATACTTAAAGGTATGAGCACGATTGTATTCCAATAAAACTTATTTATGGACACTGAAATTTTAGATGTCATGAAATACTGATTTTTTTCAACCATTTAAACATGTAAAAAACTTTTTTTTTTTTTTTTTAATCTCCAGAGGTATAAAAAGAGTCTACAGGCCATAGTTTGCTCACCCCTGCTTTAAAGGTAACTTTCTTGAGGCAGAGTGAACAGCATTTAGTTGGGAAAAGTAAGTGTCCATATAATCTAGCGTCCAATCTAGAATACTTCTAGAACTGAAAGGGGGCACTATGTACTGGGAGAACGGGATTAAAATTAGATTGTCCCAGACAAATCTGAGTGAATAGTCATACTGAGGTTAATGGTTAGAAGCCAAAACTGCTTTAGGACTTGGTAACAGGAAATGCCAGTGATGGAAACAGGATGATTGGGAAGAAATTGGTTTTGGGGAGAAGATGGATGCTTGTAGCAGTACCAGGTGTCATACAGTTGGGATGACATCAACAGCAGGAAGAAACCACCCCAGAGGTTTCATAGCAGGCCAATCCTTATATGTTATTGACCAGTGAGTCACTATTCCCTGAAACAGTAACTGACAAGGAGCTTGGGACTACCATGATTGGTAAGAGTTTATCTAGCTTTTGGCAGGTTTTGTGCAGGATTGTGGCATGCATTTTAGCATCTCTGGTCTCTTCCCAGTAAATGTCAGTAGCACACCTCTGGCATTGGGGCACCAAAAAAACCAACCCTCTTCCCACCCCACACACTCCCTAGAAAGATGATGCTAGTTGAGTGGTTAAACCAATTGGCTTAAACCTATCAGGATTTACCTTGGAGCTCAATTATATATGTGTAGATTTCTTTTCCTTGATTGGTTTGGAGGGAAGAGAGGAAATGAGCAGTATTGTCAAGAAAGTAGGGTGGGGAATGTTGGGTAGGTAACCAACCTTCTCTGCCATGGAAGTAAAAAGTTAAACATTTTCTTTTATATCCTTTTTCTTTTTTAAAAGATTTGAAAGAGAGAGAGAGGGCACAGTAGGCAGAGTGGCAGGCAGAGGGAGAAGCAGGCTCTTGCTGAGCAGGGAGCCCGACATGGGGCTCGATCCCAGGACCCTGGGATCATGACCTGAGCCGAAGGCAGCAGCTGCTTAACTGACTGAGCCACCCAGGTGCTCTTCTTTTATATCCTTGATAAATATCTCAACTCCTCCACACTTGAACCTCCCCCCCCCCTTTTCTTTTCAGTTCTCTTAGCAACTTATTCTAAACCTCCTGAACTGGTCTAGAAGGGAGTTCTCCCCCTGGCCCCCCGCCCCCACCCCCGCCAGGTAATTCTCCCAGTAGGATACTCCTGCTTTGAATACTGTAATTTTCTGACTCATGGCTTGCTCTGTCTTTCCCTTCTTCATTCTACATGAAGGGACTAGTGCTGTATACTGATTTCCTTTACTCAGGCACCCTATCTCCAGTGGTGCTCAGCTATTTAAAATGAAATAACTCAGAAATCTCAGTTAGCAGTCAAAGGTCTCCATAAATCCACAAATGGCTTTCCCTGCAGCAAACGTAATCTACTTTACACATAACTTTTATTACATTGATGTGTTTCCCTTTACAATACCTAGTCCCTGTTCTCCCAATTGCTAAATTTATTCCCCACTTCAAGACTTTATTTCCTCACTGAGAGTGACCTTCTTTCTCCTTTCCAACCATCCAAATTCTGTTGTCTTTCATTTCCTTCTCTAATTCTACCTCTGTTCCAGGCCTGTGACTATATCAGCTCACATTGATCTCTTTGAATTTTTACAAATTCCTTGCCTATACCATCCATTTTATTTTATGTTCTTGACTGTTCTGTTCTTGAAACTCCTTTGGATCCCTAGATGTCTCCTTTTGCCTTTGTAGATGTTTCTTTTCTGAGTCTTTTCCACCTTCCTTTACTTCCTTATATCCATCCCTACCTTACCTAGAAGTCATCTACAAGCATCTGTTGTTATCTATGTTCTTTTCTTCTCTTGTTACTCTTTTTTTTCTTGACATTTTATCTACTTAGTGATTTACTTGTCTTCTCTATGGAGGATGTACCTCTCCAGCCCTGACCTTTCTCTGGGAGATAATAGTACTAGCCACCAAATATTTCCATTTCTTTTCTACACACATAGTAGAATTGCATTTCTCTAGCCTTTTGAACTCAGTGTGGCCAGTGAAATGTGATTGGAAGTGATCTGTGTCACTTCCTAGTAAAAGCTTTAAGAATGCACAGTTTCTCATGCCCTCTTTCCCTTTCACACAGTGAGGGAATGTTTTAGTTATCTATTGCTGCATAACAAACCACCCCAATCTTAATGACTTAAAACAGTAATTGTTTTTACTATTGCTAATGGTTTTGTGGGCTCATGGGCAGTTGTCCAATCTTTCTTGGGATCTCATGTGGTTCCAGCCAGGTATTTTCTGGGGCTGGAGATGCTAGAATGTCCAAGACTTTCTACTTCCCATTGTTATCCGAGGGCCTCGCTTTACATGGCTTCTCCAGCAGAGTAGCCTGATTTCTGACATGGTGGGTCAAGACTCTCAGAAGTGCAAAAGCTTCTAGGTCTTGTAAGTCTTAGGCCTAGAAATAACACAGTCTGTTGGTTAAAGCATTCACAGGGCCAGCTCAGTTGCAAAGGGTGGAGAAATAAACTCCACGTCTTGATGGAGATTGAGGAGAAGAATGACAAAGAATTTGTGGCATTCTTTAATTTGTCACCCCAACAATGTTTCAAATGGTGGCTGTTTCTGTCAGTGAGGGTCCTAAAGTCAGGACAAAGTGGAAAAGAGCCCTCAGCTAACATACACAGTTGTATGAATGAGAAACACATCTCTGCTGTTCTAAACCGCTGAGATATTTGGGGTTGTTTGCTAGCAAACAAAGCCTAATCTACACTAATACAAAAATTGGTACTGGAAGTAGGGTACTGCTGCAGCAAAAACCTACAATATGTGACATATCCATATACGTATATGTTACAAATTTTAGTGGTTGGTCGTTAGGCAGCATCCAGCTCTGATTCACTTATGAATCTGCCAGCAAATCTAGCTCAGAAATTTGTGCTCAACAAATATTTCTTAAATAAGAGAGCCTATGTCTTATAATTCTTTTCTATTTCTTTATTTTAGGGGAAAACACTTCTTTCCCACATCAGATGTTTCTTGAAGTATGGAGTGGGTGCCACTACCATAACTCTCAATACTCTATTCCAGTGCTCCTAGCAAGTTTCCTGATGTGTAAGTTTGGTGTGTGTAGCCCACCTTCTTCCTCTCCCCTTTCCCATAGAAGTCAGACCTCCCACAGAAGGTGTGCCTTCTACTTCATACCGTAAGTTTCACAGGGTCCTGCCCATGCCAGGGGATGTTTGGGGTAAGCTTAGCAAGATAGGCCCCTTGGGGGAAGGGGAGCTTCAGTTTTGGGAGCTAAGTTCATTGCCAGGGAGTGACAAAACCTGTTGTTTGAACTTTAATTCACAAGATCATGAAAGTTCAGTGTTGGACATCAATAATTTTAGATTTAATAGGAGGTTAGTACTGATTACTTTGGGCTATAACTTAGAAGAACAAGATAATTTAATATCTGAACTTTTCATTTCTCCCTGGAAAATTCATATTGGGGAGGGTCATAATCAAATTGAGCACATCTTTTTGGCTTTTAATTTTTGGAGTATTTTTATGTTATTGTTTGATCCTTTTAGAACCTCTGTTAATGTTGAAAAAGGTAGGGGGACATAATTTGAGATGGAATAGAATAGGTTGTCAATTATAGCCTTGGGTACAGAACAGCATTGGAGCTGATTTAGTGATATGTTGTTCTGACCCATTCAAGGCATTCTGGGAACAAAATCTACACTTTACCAGTGACTCCAGGAGATCCCACAAAAGAGGTGAACATTGTATTGGAGAAGTGACCTTATGAAGGTGGGAGCAGAAAGTGGGAGCAGGACTGCCCTGACTGCTGACTTCTTATCCAAGGAGGATAATCATCTCCCAAGTTGATCTCAGTGGGTAAGCTGAAGGGGTTAAGGCAATGGTCTTCATACATTTTGCTGACATAACCCCCAAATAATTTTTAAGTTGACATGTAAAATTTTTTTGTCCTTAGTTGCAAAAGATGTAATTTCTGGTTAAAGTAAATACGAATATTTTAAAATAAAGAAGTTTAAAATACATTTAATGAAATTAAATTCCATAGAAATTGAATACTCATCATCTATTTTTACAGAAATTTACATTATTTTTTCTCTTTGAGTTTGTATTTTCATTCTACTTCCCCACAAAAGGTTTAAAAATATATTTTATGTTCAAATATATTTTATTGCTTACCTTATCATTCTTTTCTGCAATAAAAATTTGTTTATAATTTAAACAATTTTCTATTACTGAAAGGTTCTAAGTGTCAAAAACTTCTTTTGGATTGAATTATTATTACAATTATTATTAGTACATAATTGATCATAACTGTTATAAATTTTTTTTTTTAAAGATTTTATTTATTTATTTGAAGAGAGAGACACAGCGAGAGAGGGAACACAAGCAGGGGGAGTGGGAGAGGGAGAAGCAGGCTTCCCGCCGAGCAGGGAGCCCGATGCGGGGCTCGATCCCAGGACCCTGGGATCACGACCTGAGCCGAAGGCAGACGCTTAACGACTGAGCCACCCAGGCGCCCCCTGTTATAAATTTTTATACATCATTACTAAAGAGAACTAAAATTTTATTGGGAATATGTCTCTCAATGAAATGGTTGGAGCTCCCCCCCATCATTAGTTCATGAATGTAATTTTTGTTAGGAGACAGAATAGGAAAAGACAGAAAAAGATAGGACTATTAGGTATAGGGCTTACCAAAAATGATTAAAATACAATAGAAAACTATCTAAATCTACAAGATGGGGATGAATAATGAGGTGAGATGGTTAACAAGTGACAATGAACAGTCGTGGGAGTAAATTAGTATAGATTTACTGTATTCAATAATCGTTAGGTAAAAATTAATGAAATTAATGAAATATTAATGAAAATATTTTCTCCTATGAGTCTGTATAATTGCTCAAGAATACAGAACATTGACTTACCTCTGATATATGTATGTTTCTTTTACATGTAACATTGATCTGTTGATGGAAATTTGGAACTTTTTAACATCCTTTTCCTTAAAATCATCTGAAATATGTAACTGAGACATAGAATGAGCCTTTACATCAAGTTCTTTCTCATTCCTGAGGCAGGTGTGCCTTGTAGCTGACTGGTATTTACCAGAATATTTTCCACAAATCATCCATACTTGAATTCTGAGATAGATATATGAAATCTTGCTGTGAGTTTGTTACCCAGTTGAAGTAGGGCTCAACCTCCTTCAGTATTTCTCTTGGCTATCTCAACAGTGTTCTTTGGCATTAACAGGGAATGGAAGAGGAAATGGCATTGGGCAAAAATGATCATGACTCCTGCCATCCCACTCTACAATGTAGATAAAACTCAGAACACCCCTGGAGCGTCTGGGTGGCTCAGTCAGTTGAGTGTCTGACTCTTGGTTTCAGCTCAGGTTATGATCTCAGAGTCATGAAATCAAGCCCTGCCTCAGGTTCAGCGTGGAGTCTACTTGGGATTCTCTGCCTATCCCTTTGCCCTTCCCCCACACATGCTCTCTGTCTCTCAAATAAATAAATAAATAAATAAATAAAATCTTTAAAAAAAAACTCAGAACACCCCAACACAGACCAAAATACCCGATTTCTAGCACCATGCTTTTCTCTCTTTTTTTTTTAATTTATTTATTTGGCAGAGAGATAGCCCAAGTAGGCAGAGTGGCAGGCAGAGGGAAAGGGAGAAGCAGGCTCTCTGCTGAGCAGGGAGCCTGATGTGGGGCTCGATCCCAGGACCCTGGGATCATGACCTGAGCCGAAGGCAGCTGCTTAACCGACTGAGCCACCCAGGTGCCCCACCATGCTTTTCTCTTAATAGAGTATGTATAAGATAAAGAAAATCAGGAAGTCCTCCTATAGGTTTATCATGCCTCGATTAAATTAAATATTGACATCGATATTAGAGTTGTTCTTTAGTGTGGTGACTCAGAGGCTTTTTGTACATGGGAACATTTGCCATGGTAAGATCTGGGATGAGTGAGAGGATGCTTGTTTTTTATAAGTGGGAAAAAAATGATTTTTAAAGGGAGTTGGATAAACAGAATTGTTGTGACATTTCAACCTCAGTCACATTTTAGGCAGCTCAGTTTTAGGAAAGAGTAGGTAAAAGTTGAATAAATGGACTTGATTTCCTAAAAATTATCTGTGTTCTCCTTGGAAAGTACTTGTAGAATCCCATGGTAGACTGACTCCAGTTTGGAGACTACTAAGGTTAAGACAACAAAATTATGTGAGCAATGTGTAGTTGCAGGGGATTCTATTAATGCTCTCAGCCTCTTGGGTCTCTTAGTGGCCCACTGGCAAGATGCTGGATGGTGAGAAACTAGGTGAGAAAGCTCAGCCCTTTGCCAGCCTCACTCTTGTGAGGCTGCCATCAGGAATCATGCCTTCTGGTCTGTTTCTTTATACTGCAGATTTTACAGGGACAAGTCTGTGAAATGGGTGGAGGGGAGAGTTTCTATAGTCCTGCTCTGCTAGTCTGTGACTCAGTGGTATGTATGCCTGGTCCCAGGGTTCAATGTTGGGAGGCCCATTAGTGCTGCCTTGTTCCCAGCATCAGCTTTATCAGTAAGAGTGATAGTTCTCAGCTGTCTACTCTTTTGCCTGTTTTTCAGTTGGTTCACAACTTGGTAGGAAGAGGGGTATGGTTTATTGTGTTCCCTAGATACTCTCCATCCTTAACAGTGCTCTGATTATTAACACAATAAATATATACTGTGAATTTTCGTAAGTTCTTTTAGCCATGAAATTATATTCAATCCTGCTTGCATTTTTTCCAATAATATTTTGTATATATCTTATAGGTTTGTGCATAGTAATAAGTGTAGTTTGTTTTCAAAATGTTTTCTTTTTTTTTTTTTTTTAAGATTTTATTTATTTATTTGACAGAGAGAGAGACAGCAAGAGAGGGAACACAAACAGGGGGAGTGGGAGAGGGAGAAACAGGCTTCCCGCTGAGCAGGGAGCCGGATGCAGGGCTTGATCCAGGACCCTGGGATCATGACCTGAGCCGAAGGCAGATGCTTAACAACTGAGCCACCCAGGCACCCCTCAAAATGTTATTTTCTAAGAGACTATCACAGGGCAATATATAAAACATCAAAGGAGTTAAGTTCAGGAGAAAAAGAATCGCTCTGTAGCCTTAAACAGTTCTTTAAGACATACTATCTCCCGAGTTTCACAGGTGAATGAATACATTAGGGGGTTGACTAAGGAAATCAGGCTTGCCATTCTGTTTCTTTTTGTGCTATAATTTACCGGGCCTCCTAAGCCTTGGTTTTAACATTCGTAAAACAATGATATAAAGTATAGCCATGATATGAGAAAATAAGATTATAAAGCAAAATAAGGAAGTGATAACTAATAGAAGCTCTGGGCATAAAGATCTGTAACATTTCAAGGAAATGACACTTTGTGAAGGGACACAAGCCTAGGTTCTATAAGCACTTGGGTCTTTTGAAAATGAGCTATGTTCTAGATTGCCAAAAAAAAATATATATATATCAGCAGGTTAAAAGCTTTAGTTTAACACAAAATAAACTTCTTGAATTCTCTACAATAAATCGATGTGGGTAATTCAAATATTGTCATACACTAGGAGAAATTTTTGTTGTCGTTATTGAAAGGAAGTTCTCCAGCAGAACACTAATTTTTAGGAGCAAACAGGTGCAGGAATTTCTTTTTAAAGATTATTTATTTATTTATTTATATTTGAGAGAGAGAGCACAGGAGCATGCAAGCAGGAGTCAGGGGGAGGGGCAGAAGGAGAAGCAGACTCCCGCTGAGCAGGGAGCCCTATGCAGGACTCGATCCCAGAACCCTGGGATCATGACCTGGGCTGAAGGCAGAAGCTTAACCGGCTGAGCCACCCGGGTGTCCTGGATGCAGGAATTTCTGACAAGAAGAGCCAGAAGATCACAATTTTGATTCTTCTTTTCCTCTTGCCTCCAACATCTAATTTTACATCAAATCCTATTGACTCTGTCTCCAAAATATTATCCCAAACCTGACCAACCACCTCTCACCAGATCTACTGCTACTGTCCTAGTACAAGCTATCAGTTGCTCTGATTTGGACCACAACAATAGCCTCTTGTTGTCTACTCTTGCCTTCTTAGAGTTCATTCTTTGTCATTAGCCTTTTAACAATATAAATCAGATTCTATTACTTCCCTACTTATACTTTACTAATGTCTTTCTTTTGCATTAGAATAAAATCCAAACTCCTTATAGCCTGTATGATCTATTCTGTACCTACCCTCTGGTTGCTCTCATATCACCCTTCTTGCTCATTATGCCCCAACCATACTGATTTTCTATCTTTGTTTGAATATTCCAAGCTCATTCCTATCTTAGAGATTTTGGATTTGTTCTTCTGTAGGCCTAGAATCTTCTGCCTCCAGATTTTCTAACGCCTGACTGAGAATATTCTCATCACTTAGGACTCAGCTCAAATATTCACCCCTCAGAGAAGCCTTACCTTGATCATATGTCTAAGGAGCTCTCACTCCCTCTCCCTCAACTTTAATCATTTCTTTTCCTGTTTGATTTTCTTTACAGCATTTAGCACTACCTGAAATTATCTTATTTTTACATGTTTATTATCTGTCCCTCTGTTAACCCCCAGTAGAATGTGATTCTGTGATGGTAGATCTTGTCTATCCTATTTCCTGCTGTATTGTCATAGCTTAGAATGAAGGTTGCCATTTGGTGGGAGTTATTATATTTGCTGAATGAGTGAATGAATCAAGGTCCAGATATAACAGGAAAGTCCTTCCAAAAGGCCTTTGCTATAATAATTTGCCATAGTTTAGACTTGTGGCCCTTCATTTTGAATGCTCAGACATCTGCTTTTGCCAGTATAT